TTACTTATTCTTTCTTCATTTAATAGTTATCATCTATAGATCGACTTCATAATACAGTTTTGTTGCTTTTTACAGTGAACTTTGAATCATTCTACCATTAAGAAACAACAAGTGAACTCCAAATCAATGGGAAAGTACATGGCAACAAAGCATGGCTTAAGATGTCCCTCATGAAAACGACTATTATAAGTCACAATCTTTCTCAATCCAACGAGATTTATTTATTTGGCTAACTTTGGAGACATTTTCAATGTTACAGGATTTGATGAAAACATCTTGATTGGTATTTTTCATTACTATTATTTTCGTATATATTGTTTAAAGAAGGATCTAAAAATCTAACTCATACCTGTTCATATATTTTTCAGATGTGGTTGGTCAGGTTATTAGTTTGGGTGATATGTTTAAAGAAGTTTTTCAAAACCTATGCCTTTTAGCAGATTGTTACCAAAAGAGGTAACAATTTTTATCACCTCTGTGATCATATTTTGGTTTTCATCTAATTCAGTTTTACTTCAACAATATATTTTTCTTTGCAGAATCAGTTAAAACATTGGATCGACGAAAATATGACAAGAACAGAGAGTTCTCCTAATCATCTTGAGGAGATGAAATGTAAACTATTTCATTTACAGCAGCAGTAAAGGTGTATACTCATTATCAAACAATGAGGAAACTTATACCTTATTAGGCTATATGACGGTATCGTTTACATGTGCATAATCAGTAAGTTTGATTAAGTATTATCAAACAATAGAAATTAGTGTGTTGCTAATAGCTATTATAGACTTTATAGTTAACTCATTTTAACATACTATGCCAAAAATATAATGACTATAACAATACTACTAATTCTAAATGTATAAGAGTAGCTTTCTATTCATAACAATTAAAAATAAATAGTCAATCCTTATCATCTCACTAACCTTTAACATTATATAGGGTTGTCCTATCTTCTCCAAAGACGACATTATTTGAAGCCACCTCTATAAGCATTAAACGCAGAGATTATGCTTAGTTTGTATACATTTAACATTTAGAAACTCTAATTTAGAAAAATTGTATTCTAAAAGTTTGTATCAAATTAAAATAGTATGAACAGTAGCTAACATGTTTTTATCAACTATACAAAAATAATATAACAGTAGCTAACATATATCATCTAAGAAACCTTTTACATTGTTTCAGGATTCTGAATAGCTTAAAAGATTACATTAAACCTCTCTTTCTCATAAATATTAAACTCTGACCTGACTATTGTGCTAACCATACTCACTATGGACAAAATCTATAGTTACTATCTATAGGAAAAGGCGAATTTCACCATATTTCATATCGGGACAACTGACGATTTATGTACAGAGATGGGTTTTATAGTTAACACACTCAAATTAACCTGTCACGATTTGGGATTTTCTGATAAAAAATATTTGAAATCAAATTTTAGATCTGAAATTCACAATACTTACCCATATAAGATCGGTTTTTAGACAATCATTTCCCAATACCTCTGTTCAAACATATAGATTTCTAAGATTGGAATTTGAATCGAAACATTTGAAAATAGTAAAAGTCAATATTTGATTCAATTATAAGGTTACCTCTTTGTAGAATTCAGATTTTCCGATTAAGAGATGATAAACAGAGATGTAGTATCTTCATTATCATACATCTTTTCAACCGGTTCCTTTTATAAGACAAAAGTTCTTCTAAAACAATTATCTGTCGGAAAAAAAAAAGAGACATATGTTTAATATAAAAACCCAATCGAATATATGTAACGATCTGGGTTCTTGACAATCATAGTTAAAGAACTCTGTTCAAACAGAGAATTTCAAAGAGTGGAAATCGAATTGACAAATCTTTTAAATAAGTAGTTGCCTAAATCTGAATCAATAAAAAGCTTACCTCTTTGTAGTAATCCGAATTTGAGATAAAAAGATGATAAACGGAGACGTAATAGCTTGATTATCAGGCAATTTTGGAATTGATTCGTCGATCGAACAATCGCCTGAGATTTGTAGGGTGTTGTTTTTTTTTCACCGATAAGACAATTATTTTAACAATTATCTATCCAAAATGAAAAAACATAAATCCGGTAATATATTAAATACAAACAAAAACGAAAACATGGATCGATTTCAATAGTCATATTAATTGGGTCTAAAAATATTTCGGCCCATACAAGATTAAATTCTGATACATAACAGTTATGGGCCACTTTTTTAAAATTTGGGTCTACAGTTTTTATTTAAATTTGGATAAAGTTATAAACAATAATTTTGGATTACCAAATAAATCGTTTTACATTTTATTAAAATCGAATATTCTATAAAAAAATTATAAACAAGATTATAACTAAAACACACCAAATCTGAAACTTACCAAATTATCTATAGATTATTTACCAAAACCATGCAAACCTATCCAATCATTCACCAAAAACAAGTAACTAATTTTTTCTTTTAATTCTATTCAAACAGAAAAAAAAATTTGTAACAAATTTTATTTAAACACACAGAATATAAATATCCATTTAATTTCTATTATTATGGTATCTATTCTATTATCTAATTCCCAAAACAGAAACAAAAAAACAAATTTAAAATACTTCCGAAAAACAAACAAATTGATTATATATTTTATACAACACATATCTTAAAATATGAAACCCCGCACGTACGTGCGGGTCACGATCTAGTTCAAAATTTAAAGGAGACAGATAGTTCAATTTATCTGTAGATAATGTGGACAACAAGAAAATAGAAAATATATGTGGGAACTATCTATACTTTTATAATTTCATATATTATCCTCGCTAACAACGCCACATAAAACTTATTAGGAACATATTGGAATTATAGAAAACAGTCGGCTAACTATGATATTATGCGATTAATTGTTATTGGTGGATAAGTATATATACAGACCTAATTAAATGATCCTAACCGTTGGTAAACAATCTACAAGCTCTATAGTACAAATAATAAATATTGTTATAGGGAAAAAAAAATCGTTAAGAAAAAAAAAGAACAAACACTCTGTTTCGGAATCACAAAAAGCTACAATTACACATGTGGGATATTTTCTTTATTTAATATCAATGAAAGTTGCAACGAAGGCCAACTCTTGAGAGGCAGAGCAGGATGAGTTTCATGTGGACAGTAGCGTCGTTGGTCATAGCTTTAGTGGTTGTGAGGATCAGCCACTGGTTGTACCGATGGTCGAACACTAAACCTAAGTGCATCGGCAAGTTACCTCCAGGATCAATGGGTTTCCCGATCATCGGAGAAACAATCCATTTCTTTAAGCCTTATGGATTCTACGAGATTCCACCCTTTCTCAAGAAGAGATTATTAAGGTAATTAGATTTCATTGCCTCTGTACATTTTTCTTACTTAAACGAGAAAAAACGTTAGTATATACGGTGCTACATATGTGAAATATTTCAGGTATGGGCCGTTGTTTCGTACGAACATTTTTGGTTCCAAAACTGTGTTTTCGACGGAACCAGATGTATCTTCGAGTTTTCCGGCAAGAGCCAAGTCTTCGCGCTGCTAT